CTTGTGAACCGATCAACGATAACTACAACAAGGGAACAGAAGAGACGGTAAAAGACAGAAATATAGAATGAAAATAATAGTAATTCGCTACATCGGTGACTGTGACGGTGTTTAACAGTAGCAACAGCGGCTGCATAGACTTCAATAGTAGTAGTTAACGGTAGCTGTAGCAATAACTTGTATTTTCTGGATCTTAATTCTCATGTACAGACTTAAGTTCTTTAATCTGTTTAATAAGATACGCCTTCTCGTCGTTGAACTGTTCGTCCTCTGAACGATCAGTGTGGAAGCGCGTCAGGAATTCGATCAACTTTTCCTGATTGCGCAGTAGAATGTCTAAGATCGGTTTCGGTTTATTCGGATTCGCCACGAACACCTAGTAAATTAGAAATATTATTTGTCTGTTCCTCTTCTAAATCTAAATGACGATTAGACTGAAGATTTTATGCATTTACTAATAAATTACAGAAAATAATAACGCTGCCTGATGCATAACAACATTAATGATCCATAACAATTTTTGGGTTAATATACCTTAAAAACGTGAAACGCTTCGAATTGAATGTTACGTGATTTTTCTTTGAGCATGTTCATCATCAATTTTAGATTATCCGGATTCGAGATGTATCGTGTCATTACCTGAAACGTAAACATGGTTGAATTTACATTATACAAACAAGAATTTACGTGTACGTCCCTTACAAATTGCATGATAACAATTGTACATACGGTAAAATTATGTCTATCGAGTAAGAGTTCTCCTAGCAGTTTCAAACTCTGTCGTCGCGTAACATAATTCTCTGAATTCAATAACCTTTGATAATGAGAGAAAACTTTGTCGTAATTAATTTCTAAAAATTCAGCGCTTAGAATTTTATGCCTGGTGAGTAATTCCTGAAAACCAACGTACCGGATGCAACCAATGATAATGTTTTACTTTAAGTATGATATATATCATGCGGTTTTATCATCGCTTACTTTGAACGTAGAAAACGCGTCGGAAGCTATGTCAAATGTTGAGACTTCAACGTATCTGAAAAAATTGTAAAAGTCGTCCGAATAAAGCATTATTTTTGCCAAGGCCTCGTATCTTGCACATTCTCTTAACATAGTGCCACAATTCAAAGCGATGTCTTGGTGTTCGTACCTGTAATCATTTGCTTATAAATTAGAAATATTTCAAACGGAAAACTGACATAAACATTGCCACACAACTTACCCAGACATGAGGGTAAACAATATTTCTGGCTTTGTGCATATATATTCTACTGTAGGAGATCTAGTTCCAATTTGTCTTCGTAATATATTATTAAATACTTGAGCAACATCTTTTTTCCCCTATTAATACATTTCACGTTTTCAAGTAAACGACATATATTTGAAAAAAAAAAACATTTTACCACGACCGTCGTTAATAGGAGCATATTAAGAACGTTACCTCGAAATCTATGCGACTAAGATTTTGCACAAGCAAAAGCAACAGATTACTATTATACAATTCTTGTGCTAACTGGGCAACGACGATGTCTGCTTGAGGCTCGGTTTCAGCCGTCCCGTAAAGCATATTTTTTATGTGTACCAGATTTTTACTAACATCCTCTTGAGCCTAAAAATCAACATAATTGTGTCATAGAAACCGAAACATTGCCTCAGAACGTACCTTTTCTACCTTCTTATCACCACGCTCCAACGCATTTACCGCCTCCTTAAGAGCTTTTACCACCTCCGCCGGACTCTTTTGAGACTTTCCGAACAGAGGCATGTTTTTCACAATGTACAGACCTTATGAAACGTATGAAAACAATAAAGAGAGTGTTAGCTCTTTTGTCCTAATAAATACCCTGTACGTGTGAATTATACTCCATATAATCAGATCTTGTACATCGTATAATTAAATTATTGCATAAATTTTTCAAACTCAAGCAAGTGAAATTATATGAAATAAAAATAAATAATAATGAGTAACATATAGATTAAAGAAATTACGTGATTTAATTTATATAATGATACGTGCGAATATTCTAAGCTAAAAAAGCTCATGCATAAAATTAAGACAGTTTATTTTCATATACATTCACGTGAGAAATTTTCATTCAATATTATGTCCTTCGCGAATGTTTCTGTTCTATGTGCATTGTAAGGTTTATATGTGAACGATGCTAAACATACTCGTCAGGTTATATCTGCAGACGTAAATGTCAAATTTGTTGCAGACTACGACCTACTATCATCAAACATGGTTTTGATAAATTTTAATTTGCTGCTTCTCTTCCCTTTTAAAATGTAGACATTAGATTTAATCGGAGAATGTTACGATTATCGTAGAGTTGTTATTGGAAAGTCGAAAAGGGATTCGTGAATAATAGTTGAACCGAGAAACACTGCGACAAATACGCTGAATGAAATAGTTGCAACAAAAATGGAGGTCATCCATCAAGTCAATCAACGATACAGTAACGATAGAAAGAGAAACAGGTAAAAAAAGAAACGAAATCAACAGTGCGAAAGGATATTCGTACGCTTTTCTAGGGTGTATAAATGATACGAAATAAAGATCGAACGACTTGAAAGGTATAAAATAGGCAGTCAAGTTGCGACTTGCAGGAGTACGAAAGTGCGTTGATAGATGTAACAAATGTATATAACCTGTGCGTTTCAATCGCCCTCGCGAGCCTTAAAATAATCTTACCATTCAGCCAGACCCAGAACGAAAGCCTCGGCCTCGGTTCGAATATATTCTACGCGATCCTTTTAAAAGCACACATATAAGGCAACTATTTTTTACAATTTTATATACTCGACGTATAAAGAACACAAGTTACAATATTATAAGTCTACCGGCAACGGATTCTACGATTCTATGCGTACTGCGATATATACTCTCTGCACGAATGTTCCTACAAATAAATTTTATTTATCTTTGAAAACTTTTACACTAATCGCACGATTCTATGATGTCTCTTATCAAAATTCTTTCACGACTAAACGCCAAATCCGCAAAAACGTTCATTGGACCTCTGCTATCTAGAAACTTTCGTTTCGACCAATTGGAAAGATCGGAAAATAAAACCGCGATCCAATTTGTATAGAGACAATTTTAATGTTTCAAATAAACTAATTTTTATTTCATTTCCTTCGTTTCTTTTTGGCAACAGATGTGTTTACGAGTCAGTCGAACTTGAGATAGTAAAGAAGACTTGTTTCTACTGACGCATCTACTTATAAAATATGTCAACAACGTCAACAATTTAGTGATTATGTCCAGTTCGCTCGTGAATGAAGCTGAAAACAACATATGCTGCCAATATTGAAACTACGTAATGTCCCGAGAACAATGTTCGATAATTACTAGAGAAAAGGTTTTTCTTGCTTAGATTACATATGTACGGCCCATAAACGTGGAACAGAAGTGACCACGTGACTGAGAAAGTAACCAATCAGCTGTTTAACTTTGTCGTGCCGCCAAGCTCGTCTCTATTCTGTACTGTGCACGCGGAAGCTAGATTTTCGTGCAATATTTTCGCATGCAAACGGACGTTTCCGTGAAACGGCCGCATCGTTACGGTAAAGAAACGGATGGGTTTTAGTTTCGCGCGTACTATATAACGTTTTCCGATCCGTACTACGCTGAATTCTGTTCTCAAATGGTTCTATATCATAGTCGCCATTTTGGTGATAGACCGAGCCAAGATTAGCGAGTGTACCTATGATCTTTTTATTTTCACTCGGCATTCGGTCGATCGTCGTGATCGTCGGTGACGCCGGGACGGAATTCTAACCTCGAGGATGACGCAACAAAACAAAACGATGAACTTTCTCATACATGACGCGAACGGTGAGTACGCCGAATGCGCGCCAATTATCACCTTGCCACACTTCGACAATGATCCCTCATTTTTCCCTCGTTCTCCCAATGATCATTCAGTCTCGTGACTGTTCTCCAGTTTTTGGATTTGTGGTCATATTTTCGTGATATTTTGGAGAACTGCTGTCAATTACAAGCCTCTATTGGCTTCATTCTCTTGTCGCATTTATGTTGCTCTTATGCTCGGTTTCAGTCGAAGCTATCCTTGTAATATTTATGGAAATACTTCTTCAATCTCTTTTCTATTCTCATATAAAGAAAGCTAATTTACCAATAAACTATTTTATCTTAGTGTGTTATCACGAATTTATATATTTCCGTGACTTGATGGCCTGTTTGATAAGACCACTCTTAGTTCTGAGTATGAAGATACTGTGCACTTTCATTGTTTAGTTTAATTCAAATATGCCAAGTTCAAAGTTAATTTGCTCTGCACACGATAGTTGATTTATAATTTCAGCAGATGTATCAAGTTTTCATGGTATTTATTTTGTATTCTTTAGTACAATGATATTGAACAGTTATGATTCACTCTATGTTGTAGTATGTCTAAAAATGTATAATATATTAAAGTCGGAAGAAAATTCGTCTATTACTCTTATGTCTATACATTTTCTTGTCGTTTGTTTGTGTAACTGTTGAAGAAACAATAAAATTTTAGGTCATCCACAAGTAATAAAAGTAGTGCAAAGTACAGCCAATAAGGCATTGGGTGGTATCGTCAGTACAACAAATGCAGGTGGCCTTAAAGTCTTTAAGACTCCGAGCCAAGAATCTCAGGTACATCAAATTCATGAGTATTCTATTTTTTATTTAAATCTTATTTTCAATAGTAACATTTACGTCAAACGAATTCAACTTAGTATTTTGTTGATTAAACGTTAAATCTCGATGTTACCTAGGTTTTGCCATCTAACGCACAAGTTCTTAGAACTATCAGTTTGCAGAATCCTTCAACCCCTGGCCAAAGTGAGTAACATTTCAAACAAGTGTCATTATGCGAATTTTTGTTCTCATGCCTCTGCATTATATGTTTCACGCATTATTTATTTGTCAATATTTTACCAAGTGTAAAATGTAGCAACTACTTTGTGTACATGTAATATTTGGTCATTGTTATAGGATTGGTTACTATACCACTACAAAACACAAAACTGGCGACAACCAAAGCCGGTGAACCTGTACTGACTAAGACTATACAATTAACATCTGCACAAATGGTATGATTTACTTAAAACGAATAGTATTTGATACATTTTTGGGAAGGGATTAAATATATCGATTTCTATAATCCTCTGTACAGAGCGACATAAAACAGGCAATAGTGTCTCAGCAGCAGCAGCAGCAGCAGCAACAACAATCGCAACAACAGCAGCAACAAACACAGCAGTCGCAGCAACAGTCTGCCAACCATCAAATTGTGAAAGATACGAGTGGTAAAACATATATCAGTCCAATACTGGATCATAGTGGCTCCAGGAAAAGGCAAGACGCTGAGACTGGTGATTTTGTGCCAGAGTAAGAATTATCTGTATTTTATCTCTTGACTTTTGCTGTGTGTTGACAGTTCTTTGAAAATGAATTAAATATATTTAGAATGGAGTTTAATGACGTACTTTCATAATTGATACTCCATGCTTTATTTATTTTCAGTAAACGAAGAAAAACAGAGAAAGTAGGGAAAGGATTACGTCATTTTTCAATGAAAGTTTGTGAAAAAGTTAAGAAGAAGGGCACGACGTCGTACAATGAGGTCGCAGACGAACTTGTCGGGGAATTTACTAATCCTGCCCACATAAATTCTTTAACAGATCAGGTATGATCATTCGTATTTGAGGTGATGCGAATCAAGAGCTAGAGCAATGCCTTCCTCTTTCTCTTATAGCAATATGATCAGAAAAACATTAGAAGACGTGTCTACGATGCTCTGAATGTTTTGATGGCAATGAATATCATCTCGAAAGAGAAGAAAGAGATCAGGTGGTTAGGCTTGCCAACCAACTCTCTCCAAGAATGTTTGGCGCTCGAGAAAGATAAGAAGAAGAAGATCGAGAGGATCAAGGCGAAAACGCAGCAGTTGCATCAGTTGATTCTTTCGCATATTTCGTATAAGAATCTGGTGGAACGTAATCGTGTCAATGAGAGTCTGCGTGGCCCTCCAAAGCCGAATTCTGCCATACAGCTGCCATTCCTGATTGTGAATACTAGCAAAAAGACTGTCATAGATTGCAGCATTTCAAATGACAAGTACGACTCTTAATAAAGACGTTTCCTCGTTCATTAGAGTTAGGCCACTTGTCGTATCTTACGATCAGTCGATAACGTTACATGGTATTTGTTCTAGAACCGAGTACCTGTTCAATTTTAACGATAAGTTCGAAATTCATGACGATATTGAAGTTCTAAAGCAAATGGGTTTGGCTTTTGGTAAATAATTTCTTTACTATGCCCTATTACATCTCATATTCAGGTAAAATAATGTACAATATTTGAATAGGTTTAGAGAAAGGGGAGTGCACTGAGGAGAATTTAAAAACAGCCAAATTAATGGTTCCAAAATCTCTGGAGAAATACGTGGAACGTATGTATTAACCATAATTAATCAATCTTGCTTTTGACGATCGTTATTAGATGAATTGTCTATTTTTATCTGTTCCATCAGAGCTGGCAAGCGGCGATTTGGAAAAATTCATCCCAGTGACGATTCCTGGTCCAAGTACTTCGATGGAAGATCTTGATGCAAAGTTAGAAGGTTCTCGACCTCCTTCATCTTCTCATACTTCCCTTTCAGAAGATGTCCTGTCACCACCCTCGCAGTATTATTCTGAGGAAGAAGACGAAGATGACGAGAGCGATCAGGACGACCAAGCCGATAGCGATCTCGAAGTTAACTAGCACTCCGAACGATATTCTCGGGGCTGGACTCAGGGTGAATAACATTTGTAAAACGTGTATTTAGTTAAATCTGTTTGTTAACAAAAGTAACATTTCCCATGATTATAAAATCTATATTTTACAGGATACTCGTCACTGTTAGCAGCGTACTCGATATGGTCGTCATCGATATCATCATTCTTATGCCCGACGGAGGTGCGAATGAGTAGTGGTAATCGGGGGTCCCTTAAAGATGAAACCTCGTTGCCATTGTTGATAAACGTCTGTTAATGTGAAATGAGGATGGTCAAAAAGTGAATTAAATGTCGATTGGGGCCAAGGAGAAACAAAAATGAAACTGTAGGGGATAAAACTAAAAAGCTTCAGAACGTCTCGTTTGAAGGAGGAGACTCTCGATGCACGACGATCGACTGGATCCATGATTTATGTGGCGCGACTGAAACGGGGTGCTATTTTAACTGTGCATCATCTCTTAACAGGTTTATATGACTAGCATCTATGTATTGTAAATTATAATCTATACAATGATATCGATATTAATGTGTACGAGACAATTATGACCAGTACTCATTTTCTTATGGCACGTTTATAATTAATATCGCCCGCGTTAAATGTACCGAGATAAACTGGTATACCGAACACCGGGCACACATCTGAATTCAATTTCGAACTAAAAATAATAAATTGTAATAATGTTAAACACACTGTGTATATGAACTTCTCTACCTTTATGAGTTTCAGCTGCTTTTGCATTCGACAAACATTGTTTGCTTATTTTTAGGCTTTAATTGTAATTGAATATAATTTATAAATATACGACATTAAACATTATTTTTTTAATTTAGCTTTGTAATTGTAAAGTTTAAACGCATACTGTTGTTGTTATCCGAAAGATACTTGAATAAAGGAAACAGGTAGATTTATATAAAGACTATTTACAAAATATCTGTGACTCTTTATGCAATTTTACTTTTATATTAAGAAACATATTTAAATGTTAGTAGTATATAACACGTAATTACCATATTTCAGTATCCTCATCATCGTACAGGTCATCGAAATCTAAAAGAAACAATGATTTCTTATTTGATACCAGAATTTATGATACAATTTATAAGCAAACTTATTTTAAACACTTATTCACCATTGAAGAAGTCTGAGTGCACTGCTTTTTCACTTGCAGTCAAATCAACTAATAATCGACTGCCACCCACCTATTAACGGATAATTGCAAATATTATATTAAAACTATGCGAAATTTCAAAACAAATATAACCTCACTAATCGGTTTTATACCTCTTCTAATTCGATGTAAGACCCGGCACCTTCTGGAAACATTTCATCTGCTACAAGCGTAGGCTTCATTATATTACGAATTATAATCAATTAAATAGTGTAAAAATAATTCGTTCTTTTTGTTGTGACAGATCTATCAACAACGTGACTGACTATTGTTATTTGAAACAGAGCTGAAACAGAGCAGAAAGGAAATCTTCCGAGTTGCGCTTCCAGAAAAAAAATCCCTGCTCTCTCCTTGCGTCTGGGGTTTATATTAGTGATTTTTGATGGGGAAACGGATAATGTTGGATACACTGTTGTTCCATAGGATCTTCCGGTGAGAGGTTGCCGTGTACTTCTCAGCGTTCATGGATCCTTTTCCGGTACGGTGACAAAATGACTGGCTTCAGTAATAAGGTATGTACATAAAATTGTAATGTTTTAAATGATGCCAAACGGTTTTTGATGTAAGGTATGGCTAGATTAATCGGTGTATTACACATGAGAGTTTAATGACCAAATTCTATCAGTGATTAGTACGAATTTTTCGAAAAATACGCCCATCCATACCATCGGTTTTTATTCTTGCACACGTGTTTCTTTGCTTGCTAACCGAACTTGTTTTTTTTTACGTACAATGCTGCAAATTCTATTTCGTTGTTTCTAATTAATAAGAAAACTTATATGTATTGTAAGATGCATAAAGAAATAAGTATATTACGTCTTTAGAGTTTGTCAAGTGACATGTGTTCTTTGTTATTAATAATCATATACGTGATTTCGATGCATCGTATAATTTTCTTACGATCTTCTTATGTGTTCGCATAAGAAAATCATATCTGCAATTTACTAATTTCATTGTTCTTTTAGCCAATATTAATTGATGGCCGTGGCCATCTACTCGGTCGTTTGGCAGCAATTATTGCCAAAACTATTCTACAGGGCAATAAAGTGATTGTTGTCCGTAGTGAACAACTCAATATATCTGGAAACTTCTTCAGGTGAATAAAACTAAATATAATTAATAATTAATTAATATATCGATCGACTATGCTGTATACAGATTTGTATCAAATCACTACCGTTCATTTCATCGACAATGTTTCAATCACACTCAGAGATGGTGAAATTACTGACATTGACACTGACTTTACTTAGTTATGTATATGAAATTGTTGTATACCATTATCATCTTAAGTAAAGTAATAACTGAGGTATACTTATATATTCAAATAATTATGAAGTTACAAGACTGTAACTATACATTGAATTATGTAAGAGTCGTAACTAAGCGTAATGAGTTAATATTAAAAAAGGAATATATGCTATATGCTGTAAATGTTGTCAGCAAAGTCGATATCAGTGAAATGAATGTTGTTATAAACATTCTCAGTGAACTACACTTGTCGAAATCAATGTCGGTCGAATTTTGTCGATTAAAACATCGGCTGTGATTTGATACGAGCCTACTGTATACGATTTACTTTATAAATATCTGCAATATTTTTATTTCAGGAACAAGTTGAAGTTCATGTCATTCCTGCGTAAGAGGTGTAATGTAAATCCAGCACGTGGACCTTTCCATTTCCGTGCCCCGAGTAAAATACTTTGGAAAACAGTTCGTGGTACGTTCCATTTTAATTACTAGTATAATGTTTCGCAGGTTATATTAATCAATGATTATAAATATTCTTACCTACATTATTTGACGTAGATAATGAAAAATCTTATTTTATGAGATTATTTCTTGTACAACACTTAGAAAGTCGTATATATAAACTTCAGTAGTAGTGATCAATACGATTTCATTTATAGGAATGATTCCACACAAAACAGAAAGAGGAAAGGATGCTCTCAGAAGGTTGAAGGTTTATGAAGGTTGCCCTCCACCATATGACCGCAGGAAACGTGTCGTTGTACCAGGTGCCATGAGAGTCATGTGTCTTAAACCTGGTAGGAAGGTAAGATACAGCATCAATCGAAAAAAATTTACTTAATAAGATTTCATTGAAAAGCATGCTGAACATTTTTTTACAATGATGGTATGGTAATTTGCGTCTGAACATAATTTGTGATGTCAAATTTTACTGAGTATAAGTACATTAAAAATATAAATAGTATATTTTTTAAAATTTCGGATGTGATGTTAATGTAATTTTGTTTTCAGTACTGTCATGTAGGTAGATTGTCTCATGAAGTCGGGTGGAAGTACAAGGCTGTAGTGCGCACCCTGGAGAACAAGAGGCGTGTTAGATCTATTCTTGAGGTTCAAAAGAGAGACAAACTTAAGGTACGCTAAGAAATATTAAAATTACTGGCATGAATCCAGACGATTATTTCATGTATGCTCCTCTTTCATTTCAGAAACTTACTGAACAAGCTGGAAAGACGGTTGCCAAGGCTACAGCACCATACACAGCCGTTATTAATAATTTTGGATACAATTAAAGATTGTAAAAATAATAAAGTTCCATAAACATTTTACTTCGAGTTACATTCCTAAGTATTCTTAATAATATCCAGTTCATTATTACTAACAAGAGAAATCCCACACCTGCCTGCCTCCGATTTCGTTCAAACTTGGGGAAGTGAAAGAGAATCAAAAATTAAGGAACATGCCTTTGGATCTAGCTGCCAATGCTCAAGAATTATTAAAAAGAATACCTATCAATGTTCCGGTGCCCGTGGTATTAATGGTCTGGTGGCCAGAGCCTGATCTTAAAGAGTGACGTGCTTTTTTTGGCATTACCAGCTTTATATCCTCGAGGCACCTGAATTTTCTTTCATTTCTTTTAGTTAAAATTTTTTTCTTGCTCTTAAAAGTGAATTTAATTTTATTTTTATTCTTTTTTTATTTATTCATTTGTTGTTCTTAATATTAATCATGTATATTACGATTAAGTTATAACGGACACCGAAACTTTAATAGGCGTTTCTTTCAATAACTATTGAGCATCGGCAGCTAGGTCCAAAGATGTGTTCCTTAATTCTTGACCCTCTTCACAACGGATGAAATCGCAGATGGTCAAATGTGGGGTTCCTCTTGTAAGTTGTTTTCATATTTATAATCGTAAATAAAAGGTAAGAATACGTGCTTAAATATTTAAAATATCTGCAATTTTTAACGTTTATTAATTTATTTATAATTGTATTTACATAATATAGTAGTAGAAAATAAATTAACTCTCTATACTATCTACTGTGAAAACAACTGTTCCCCTTTGGTCATTATCTTCGTCGTCATGCACTTCGTGCTCTTCCTCATTTTCTGAACCTGAAGAATTGGATTCCTTTTCATCTCGTAGACGGTAACTACCTAAATTCCCAATCACTGGATTAATACTGTGCAGTCCAAGCTGTTCAGCTAATCTTTCTGCCGCATGTTTAGACTGAATTTCCTAAAATTTTAAAACACTTTTTTACTAACTACGTTATAAAAGTAGTATATTATACGAACTGCGACTACCTGAAGTTTCTCAGCTTGTTCCTTTTGTAATTTCAGAGATTCGTTTAAATTTATCACCTTCACTGCACCGTGGACTATAAACGGAGGTGTGGCTGCTGTAACTTCCCAATGCTTATTGTACTTTCTTTGCTTTTCTTTTTCCGGATCGTGTACATTAGATTTTGTTGTTTTATATGGCTTAAACGATTCTCTCTTGTTACCCTTTTCATCGGGAGATTTTTCTATTTTGTTAACAATATATGAGACATGCTCAGCAGGTTGTGCTTTAAAAGATTCTATTTCTGCTAAGTCTTCAGGCTTGATCAAACTTTCTTCTGGTGGTAAATTTATAACTTTCTTTTTATGAACTCCAGATCCTGTAGGCTGATAGTAAATAGGAAATATTAAAAATAGCTAAGACAAACATAATGCTACTCAGAGTCATGTACAACTAACTTGTGCCAATATTTTCAAAGGGTCTTCTTCGTCATCGCTATCAAGTTCAACAACTCTAGCAGTATTTTTCCTTTCATTATATTCGCCGGTCCATTCTAATTCATGCATAGCAGCTTTACCTTCAGAAGCTATATTTAATCTAGACAGAAGATTAGCTGCATCTTCAATTTCATTTCTTCGTTCCAATTCCTTTAATATTTTACTACGGAAATCTATAATCTTTTCTCCCTTATCTGGAAGTTTTGATATAAATGCCCTGAAAATCATATACATGTTGTGAATCTTTGATTTAATAACGTAATCAAATACATTGAACCTTACCTACTTATTACTAAGAATTTTATTTTGCCTATTTAACAATTCTTCCAATTCAAATTTAGCCTTCCTTCCTAAATCGTCAACATATCCTTGATTTTCTCTTTTCGAAGGAGGAGGTAGGTTTCCGGGTACCTTCTTAATTATCGTTTCCAGGCTCATATTCATGTTTATTTTTTGGCTTTATCTCACCGATTCACATGACCGACATGACCGTTGCGCTGTCGTTTGACTTTCGTGCGTTTCACTCAGTTCGTTGCATCATGCAACTTGCATGTAACACCACCGAGATTCCTTGGTGTTCCAAGTAATGAATCAAATGGAGAAAAATTGTTTATACGTCCAAATAAACTGAACAAATGATTATTTCAAATGAAATGCAATCAGATAACGTAATATTTTATTTTCAAGTCTATTTTTAAAAAAATTTCTTGAATTTCAATCCTGTCTTCGCACTCGGGACCTAATGGAACCTTTAAATTAGAACTAGATTAGACTACATACATCACTAGGCTTCTACTAATAACTAGCAGTGCGCATGTTTAAAAAAATCCAGCGGCCATCCAACACTGCCTGAACTTCAGGCCCTGAAGTAGTCTGAAGTAGTCTGTAGTCTGTAGTGCACGTGCACAGTACATTGTGCAGTTTGAAATTTTTATGGAATACGTAGTAAACGTACTTTAATCAGGAATAGTATATCAACTAATTAATTAAATAATGGATCCTTGTAGTCTTATATATGAAAGAAAAGGAGAGATGTCGTTCTACACTTCATTTCCAAATAGAAATGACTTAGTTTGCACAATGTGCAAAATAGATATTACCGAATTGCGCGACTCGTCAGCAAAATCAAATTTTCAGTGGCAAATAATGAAGTGTCGGCAAGTTGAACATAAATCTTTTGTTTCATTTTCTCAATCATTTGACAATTTTGTAACTACGTCTACAGAAATGATACATATACTTTTAGATCGCTTATTTATTTAATTTCTGACGTGATCGCTTCACCAGTGCGTGGTAAGACAAGCACATTCATATTTGTCGTTGTGCGGAAACAGCTTGCCGAAGCTGGGAAACTGGCAAGAATTTTAGAAAATTTTAAATTAATGGTTTGCTGAAAGTTTAACATCAATGACTATGGTCTGTCACAAGGAGATGAAAGTAAAGACAAATAAAATATTCGCTCTCACATTGCGACTCCGACTATTTCGCGCGTGCCTAAGCGTCGACCACGTGCATTTGTTTATGAATACTTTTTCGTCTCCTTCTACAAACCATAATTTGGAAGCTTTACATAAATCGAAATTACGAATTTTACTTTTTTTTTCGTTAGAATCCAGAAAGAGTGCCACTTACGACCGAAATATATAAAGAATGTCTTACATTTACGATACAAACTAGATTAGCTCCGTTATGGAATAAAGTCGGCGATTATCTTGTTAGAGGAAAAGAATTTTATAATTCTATTGACGAAGTTGACGCAGTGAAATTAAATATAAATATCCAGGGTATTGAAATATTACATTCCTTATTCATCTACATAATATAAAACTATTTATTAATATCATTAAAAATGTTATTAGATGGAAACATATGTCTAAAGCTTCATGCGGAAAAAATTAGAATTCCACGTGTAAAATTTGAAGATTATGTTCCACCGTCTGGTATAGTAAATTTTCTAGCAGATCCTAAAGGATATATTAACTTATCTAATTATCAACTTCCATTTGTACACGTATTACCAAGGTAATAATTATTTCAAGCTGTCAAGTATTTATTTAAGTTTTCAATTATTCAAAAAGATATTAAACTTATGAGCATTTATTAATATTACAACAAACACTTAAAACTTCTTCTAGTACAAAGAGAGGCAAAGTAGTGTCTATATCCAAAGAGCTTCCATTGAAATGTGTCTTTAAAGATTATGATCAATTACGCAGACATTGGAAAAATATGGTATAATTTATACAACTTATTTCATGTATATTTTTTCCTTTATTCAAATTACTGACTACATAATTTTTTATATTTTAGTATGGATATTCATTACCAAAGAATAAAAACGACATCTCTGCATTCTATCAAATTAAGTTTCTAATACCAAAATCAAATATTTTCATTTATCCCAGTGTGTGTGTAACAAGTGGTTCATTAGATATTATTCCAAGTAGAAGAGATAAGGATCCAATAATCAAACACTTTATCTCTGATATACATTCGAAGTTACCACTTGTTTGTGGCAAACAGTTACAGATATCTAAATGCAGTCCAGTTACAGCTGTAATTTTCTGTTAATATTCAATAGTTATTAAACAATATAAAAAAAATACTGTTTATATACTGTATTTTCAACAGGTATCTTCAAATGCAAATTCAACATGTACTGAGAAAGACTCACTAAAAAAAGTTGTAAGCATAGATCCTGAGGAAGAAGATAATACTACTGCACAGTTAGAATTTTCAGTTAAAAGTCTAGATGAACCTACGAAAAATATCAATACTGCAGTATCAGTAAAAATGCCATTAGCTAAACTACACCAATTTCATAATGTACCATATGACGAGAATATAAGATATAATACAAACGACAGAAATATGAAAGAAAATCAGGATGGTAATAACATAATGATTTTTGTAGTCTACTTGCACAATGTATGAGATACAAAGTATAATTATATCAAATAAATTCCATAGGAACTCAATATTCAAACACTGAACAAGATCCGTGTGATGAAAATATAGAAAACTTTTATATTGAAACTAATATACCAACCAGTTCAAGTGGTAAATTTACTGTATCAAACGGAGAAATGATCTCCAAATATTTTAAGAGCGAAAAGAAACGTCCAGGACAGGTATTATTACAGATAATTTTCTAATATATTTATATTTTTGGAATATATATACGTATGTATATCACCTCTATTTTTCGATAAAAATACCTTCAATTTTCTAGAAACTGCTAAATAGTGCAGAGAGACAAAAATATTTAACTCTTAGAGAGACAGTAACAAAAACTAGATCTAATGAAAATAGATGTACTTCGTTACAAGAAATGGTATGTAACTATTTTTCCTAATTTTATGGTATTAAAAATGTGTATGTAAATATACCGTTTACGAAACAGGACGAGAATAATATAGAAACAATGGCTCGGAGGAATCGGTTACATGAATTACAGCATAGCGACTTAAGTGATTGGCTAAAAAAGCATTCCATTCAACACAAATCCAAAGAAACAAAATCAGAATTAATAAAGAAAGTACTATCTCATATGAGGAATACACAAATATTAAATAAATTTCGTATATAGATGAAAGAGTACCTGATTAAAGTAAAAATAATAATTACTTACAGTAAGTGTTTAAAAACTATAAAGTTTATCATCAAACGTTTTTATTATACTTTTATAAACAAGTACACTATGTGGAAAATATTAAATAACAACATACATAAATCTAAGGAAAGAAAATCAAAACTAATAAAAAAGATATTATCTCATATGGGGAATAGAGAAATACTACATAAATTTCGCATATATATGTAAGAGTATCTTATTAAATAATAATAATTATATACAGTAAGTGTTTCATATAAATAAAGTTTATCATTAAAAGTTTTTATTATATTTTTGTAAACGAGTACACTGTGCGGAGAAAATTAAATAAGAACACCTAATTAAATATGAGAAAAGGAAATATATCTTCTTTTATACCATTAACTTGTTATAATCATTTATTGCATTTAAAATAGCTTCCCTGTCTTCTTCATTTTTTATCCCAATCTCAATCAAGTCTTCATTAGTAAGAGTCACAAACAAATCAATATCTATCTAAAATAACAAAAAGTACAGTGACTATAAAACAGGATTATTTAAAATAATATTGTAGTTGTACTTACTTCTTCTTGAAGAAATATAGGCACATGTTGACCCAGTCCGTAATGTTTCAACAAGGCACACATTTTTGTCTCTTGCGAATTCAATCTAATTCCCCTTGGAGGTGTTCTGTAATGTGGAGGTGTCGGAGTGTCTTCTCCAAATACATTTTCATCATTCATATCCGGAGGTATATTGGGTGAACGTAATGGACTAAAATCTGGTACGTATCCAAGGGTGGTGTCGAGGTCCTCTTCTGGATTTTGAATAATTATATCTGATGGACGAACGGACTGCAGTCTGATTAGAGACAGTTAGATAAAGCGATGGATTTATTATTATCAATGACTGTGGGTAATATAACTTTATTTAATATACCTCTGTAAAGATGACTGAGTTGAATTGTTCTTAATCTCATGGACATTTACTTTTTTAATTAACAAACCACCTTCAATCTCAATATTGGATGCCGTATTGACGTTCTCTTCATGAATAGATCCACTTTTCGTGAAATATATATTTGGAGGAGCAGGTAATATTTCGTTAAGAGTATTAAGATGAGTCAAAGTTGGTGAAATTAAACTGTGTTCAGTAGCTAGCGATTCGTTCGTTGGTACATCTAACATACAGGGTTCTAGCAACCTTTTTGCAACTTTTGTCAGATTATTTTTACCGTCATCGGCATTCGACTTTACAGTGTCAAATTTAAACATTGGTATGTTAATATCACTTAAAGCAGATGTGTCAAATTTAATCTCATACGATTCGGATTCTTGAGGAATATTGTCAGAACTGTCGTTCCAATAATCTTCCACATCGAGATGTTGTTTTCCAAAACGTCTTATTTCAGGTACTATCGATTGTTTTATCATGATGTCAGTGTAATTATCTGTTAAAAAAAATCCATTGATAGAAATTAATTCGGAAACGAAACTACATGAACTTTGAAAGAAGAGACACTTAACTATTTTTGGAGACGTCGAAACCTAACTCTATTAATCTGAAAAACAAATTTTTATCATTTTTCATAGCAGCGATACAAAGTGGAGTGATGTCATCGTCTATAGATTTCAACAGTGCCGCCGGACATGCTTCGTATAAAATTTCGAACATATCTTTATTTATAGCAGCCGCAAGCCCAATGATAGACATACCTGAAAGAATACTTCTTCAGAATTGTATAAAACCAATTTTTATGCTGATATTTCATACCTAGATATGTTGATTCATTCACGTTAGCATGTTTTTCCAGAAGATATTTCACCGTTTTTATATTTCTATTACGAATCGCTAACATTAAGGGTGTCCAACCGAATTTATTTTTCCTATCAATTATTTGAGAGGCGTCTGGGTTTCGCAAAATTTCTTTTACAATTTCAAGACATCCGTTCGCTGCACTGACGTGCAACAAATTCTCCCCGTATATATTTACTGTATTCAAAGTGTAATCTGAACAAATTAATACTGAATGTAAGAATCTGTCTTAGATTTCTCATTGAACGAGAGGATATAATATTATTCATTCTACCTTCTTTTTGTAACACTTTTATAACTTCTTCTTCCACCGTTCTTATCATATTGTAGTTTACCTGTAGCTTAAGATTATTTTCACTAGACATTATGATACCTTTGTTAATATTAATTGATATAAACTTCATTCAAAATTGTAATCACGACTTTACGACTTATATACTTATTTCCTAAATTAAGAAGATGTATCGAAAGTGACCTACAAATGTTCTTATTCTGTTTGTACCATTCGTAAATAAACGAATTGATTCCTGAGCGAGACAAGCTAACAATATACAGTTAACATTAACGTGAAGAATTGTATCTAATGAAAATAATTTTATATTTAAAGAGCATCATTAATACTAAAAATTGTGTACATATATGTATTTTATGTTTCATTCCGGTTTTTTATAATTCCCGCTAAGAAGGGCTACATTGTTTAGTTCTTCTTATGTTTTTTTCGTAAGAAGATGTCAGCACGATCGGATAAAATGTGACATGCATGCATGATAATTCCTCTGACACTATTTGAATTTCATTTTTTGCATTGTACGTCGGTTTCCTCCGAGAAGTAAGGAAATTATTTTGGAGAATTACTGGTTATCATCGTCCCTGTAACGTGCTACATCGAATTTTACGTGGTTTCCGTGGAACTCGTAACCATAAATATTAACTCAACACGTAAGTTGTTTTACGTTACTTTATGATATAATATATTTTTTCCTCGTCGAAGTTCAGTTCATCCTCTCCACTGGAATCGTTTATATTTATATAATGATTTAATTATTCTTCCATTTACGGTTCTGCATGTTTGGTAGGTTAACTTTTAGACGACGCTGTGGTTAAATTTTTTAGGGGTGGGGGTACTAATTAAGAGAATATATGTACGTATCATTACCGTTAGCCGTTAATTTTACCGAATTCTCTTTAATTTTGTTTCATACATTCTTCTAAAAAATAAATAATGAACATTGGATTCTTCTTACTGTCCCTGATTACACGAATTGCACATTATTATGAATTGTTCAAAATCAATATAACAATATGGACCCATTTGCTTATTATATCTGATTACATTATAAACATTTCTCACAGTAGTTTTCTTATAATTATTGTTTAGAATGGGTAGCAGTGGCCAACTGTATAGCCTCTCCTGGGGTGAATTTAGTTCATCTTTAGCCTCTGCTGTACAGTTATTAAGAGGCCACGGTGATTTGGTCGACGTTACACTGGCTGCTGGTGGACGTAGTTTTCCTGCGCATAAAATAGTTCTGTGTGCAGCCAGTCCTTTCCTATTAGATTTACTAAAGGTAAAGATTATACATATTCTTCTTCGTACAGTTCATGTAGCCTCGAATGTTTTATGAAATGAAACGTTTCATGGTTTCAACTTCATTTTTAATGAACAGAGCACACCATGTCAACACCCTGTAGTTATGCTAGCTGGTATAGGAGCGAATGATTTGGAATCTTTATTGGAGTTTGTGTATCGTGGTGAAGTGAGCGTGGAGCCGTCTCAGTTACCTTCGCTCCTTCAAGCTGCACACTGCCTTTGCATTCATGGATTAACACCACCTACTATACTGACGGAAGTACGTTTTATGACTAAAAGTTTATTTAGTATAATTAAATATCTGTGATTACTATATGTCTTTAATTTTTTGTTTCCAACAAAAAGTAATTAATTTTCTTATTTATGTAGAACGGTGAGGAGGTGCCTGTGTCAGCGATTCCAACGCCGAATGAAGGTTTATCGAAGGAAACAATTAGCTCATATTTTCCACTGAAGCGAAGAAAGAAAAGAAGAAAGTCTTCGTCGTCTTCAGGGAAGTGGCCACGTAACGCTAGTACTGCCGACGATGAAAATAAACCCTCCGATGGAAACGATAATAGTCGGTCAGCTAATTACGATCATAAGGACGACGACAATACGGAACATGGCGACGATACAAGTAAGATATATGTCACGATCCAACTAGCAGCAACGAATGGAAAGCAGTAAAAATATAGAGAAAGAACGTGTTAAATTTTTTACGCATGTTTGCGAAGTGAGTTCGGAATCCAGTTTGTACATATCTTCTGTGTATTCGTTGACAGCAAACGATCGATTGGAGTATTCGAATCACCGGAGCTGTCACTCACCTCGTGCTCAAGAGGCGCAGTCGGTGTCGGCCGAGAATTCTCAAGCAGGATTACAGCCCGATCAAATATCGGACAACGAATCGCACCTTCATACTCTAATGCCTATGCAGCCGTATTCGCCGCTGCATATACCGCAGTTCCCTGGACCACTGAGCATGGGCTTCCCTCCTGGTATACCGCTCCCGCTGGTTACTCAGAGTACGACTGCGGGAACAGTGTCTTGTGGACTGACGGGCAACATGAATCTGTCTAAAATACGTGGCGCGTCCGATTGTCCCGGTGTTTGTCCGCTTTGTGGTGCTACGTTACGACAAGCGAGGAATCTACGCAGACACCTGTTATCCTCTTGCAAATATCGATTTAGTAGTAATCCGGTACAGAGTTCCCCAGCCGACGCGATGATGATAGAGATAAAGCCCGAGGTCGAGTTGTCTAGTTACAGTGAGCAATCGATGACTTATGGAACCGACAGTGGGAGCAGTACCTGTGAGCAAATTATTTGTAAGCCGAGTCCACTTCCCTCGCCGACATCCCACGGGGCGAACGTTGTCTCGCCTCAGAACAATGTTCCGTCGCCGACCATCGCTAGATGAACGTGCAGGAAGAAATTGAAGGGAAAGATTCGTGGAATCGACCGAAAGCGTTCGATTCTGTTGTTGTGATTTAGATATTGCTTTATTTCTTATCTATTGTTTCGAACAGTTACGTTTATGTGTATCACTAGTTTAATGTAAGTGAATGCAATACATTTTGTCTTAGTGTACTTACGCACAATTTACGTTTAGATTATTATTCTTATCTATTCAAGTTGCTTAAGGAAACATGAACTGACGTTATTTTGTATATATAAGCTTGTCAGTTTTCACACTACTTGGATAGTGTGTTTAGTAATTCTGATTTATTAGTTTTTCCTTCGACGATTTTAAACGAAGTTACGTATTTAAGATTACGTTAAACGACTACGCAAAAATCTTCCTCGTTAGTAAATAAGAACAGTATCTTTAGGATTAATGGGAATAGCAATCGATGAAAAATTAAGTATAGCAAAAGCGATGATGTAAGTACAGTAACTTTTTGCTAGGTATCCGAGTAACGCGGAGCCTTAACTATGTAAGTAGAAAGATAGACCGAGGAATCGTCGGTAAGTACGAGAATCTGGAGATTTTGCGAAGAAACTCCGTGTTACTAAGTACTTCTACATTTTTGATATTATTTAAATACTTGCTTACCTAATTACACTACTCTACGATGAGTTTACATAACAAATACTGAATTGCAAATCTACGTAAGTAGTTTTTAGCATTTCTTTTGTTGTAATGGAATTTTAATTCTAAATGATTATGTACATCCAAGTATTAATATGTAATGCATTGTAATGTATATATGAATTGTCATTATCTCGTAAAAATTAGAAAAGAAGTAACAGAGAAGTTTCAGTTCCTACCTAAATGCAGTAGAACCTCGTGTTCCCGAATCACTTCAAGGCAAGTGGTTATTTGGGCGAAAATAGGATACGAAGGTCTATTGTCCGAACGGCGTTCTTTCTCGGGCTGTCCGAGATAATCCTGGTTCTATTGTGGTTTGTTCAGTTTTACGGCTTTCAATCTCGACGTGCATCGTCCACAATATAAATAATTTGATAGGAGGTAAAGAAATCGACAGCGTTTAAATTATATTAACAATATACCTAATTAAAACTAAGTAATAACGTCGCTCAACGTGGTAGGAATGTTTATTTTATTATAGACTTTGTACATTTAGATAAAAAGTTTCTATAGGCCATAGCTGTCGGAGCTGTTTCTGCAAATATTTTTTGTATATCATCTTTTTGTATGTAACCATTTATTTATAATTACTAATTGATTTCTACGAAATCGTGATATCGTGTCACGATTACCGGCGAACGAATCAGAACAATAAATGTGCTGAATTATATCTATGTCAAAGTTTGTTCAGTTTCATCCGTTACTATAACAAAATCCTTTCTATCTATTATTTGTATGCGTTTCATAGTTAACCGTTTGAATCTCAGGAGTCAAATTGATCGAAATTCGAGTACTTCTACAGGAAGCGTAAGATTAAAGCTATTGAAGCGGCAAAAAAAATATGCGAAGTGTACGGAGAAGAGGTCGTCTCAGTTCCTATGGCGCAAAAATAGTTTAAAAAGTTCAATGAAGAACTTTTATTTTAAAACACATATTTATTATTTATCAATAAATTAATTGTAACTAATACGTAAATATTAAATAACTTCTCAGAAGGTACAAAAGAATGTATAACAGTTGTATGTAAAGTATCTTTATTGACGTCAAAAAATTATACAAACTGAAACAACAAAAAAACGCACGAACTTTTGGTTCACCCTAATATAAACTTTACAAAATAGATTAAAAATCGCAGTTACAATGCTTTTGTTTGTGAGAAGTTCTATACTTAAATGAAATTATTCTAAATTAAATCATCGAGACTATAGAGCTCGTCAGATTTAGGTGAAAATCGATAAATGAAGAGTCACGTTAAATATAAGAGCCCCTTAGATATCAAAGAAATTCATACAAGTCTCTGTGTTTATTTCTAAGCTAAAGGGTTGAGGTGAATAATAAACAAGTCAGGTTTAGATTTTTAAGCATTTTTTTACTAAAGAAACATATTTCAATAACGAACACACACGGACAAATCAGTGGTCGAACTAAACCATACAAGATTAGGTATTTCTCTATTTCTTCTTTGCCCTCTAGAAGGTTACAATGCTTTGGTTATCTTTTTTTTTGGTTTTAGGTATATAGGATATTTATGGGTAATAATTAGTGTTCTTTGAATTTTTTTTTTTTGTTTTAGCACTGAAATTACCAAGCGGTCTCAAAGTTTCCCAGTTCGTTCTCAATCGCGTTGGCTGCTCGATCGCGTGATTGATCTGACAATAAGTAATACTACTATCGTTATACAATTAATTGCTAATAACTATCGACTCGCCTCGACAAATCCTGACCATAATCACGCGCATCAAGGAGCCCATAGATCTATTGCTTCGCGTTCAACGTTTATTATAACATACGACACGCCCATATCTCGATTTCCATAATGTCCTTGTTACAACGACGTTTATACCAAATTCACACTTTATTGTATTAATGAGAAAGCGAACGAACGAATTCTCGCGCTCTCTGCTGATTAAAACAACCATAAGTAGCTCCGCTCTTAATCACCCCGGAGGGACCGACGAAGTATACAATATTAAACACGTGAGCATCGCTTTGCTCTAGTCGGGGCTCGGTAGTCTGTCATTAATTTATCATTACAACGCAGATAGGTATTGATATGGATTTAGATATCGTTGCACGCACTCAGAGGCTACACCGTTCGTAATCGTGCGCCAAAGTTCAGCTGGTCGTAGAGTAAATGTACCGCTACTCACATAGTCAGCCTTTATAGAGAAAAATTAAAATGGTAATGAATTATCATATTTCAACGAACCGATAGTTATCCTCTTTTGTAACACGTTTTACGTCTCTAGCATAAAATTAATTCTCGTATTTTTCTCTCGTAATCGCCGACAACTGGCACAGTTACCCTATTCTCGTTTTCCTTTCTGCTACGATCGTAATTTACAATATAAGCACTTTTGTTCGGCAGTGATATCACCTCGTACGATGTCAAACGAGAGGCCCTACGCTTCTAATCCGTCGCATTTCTCCCTAAGCCATTAAGTATTCCTGCGTTATCATCGAATGCTGATGCTTTTGCCGCGTTGCACGGTGTTATTTCTAACTGCGAGTTGCACGAACACGGAACGTTCGATAATATTATCATTTTGATATGTACGCAAAGTTCGAAGAGATATGTACCTATAAGTAATGTCGGTTTCAATAAACGACTGAAGAGCATCGACAAACAATCGAATCTATCAACTTCTCTTTACTTGCAAACATTTCTTAGTACGTCTTTATAATACAATCTCTCTTTACGTCAAATGTGTGTAAACAACGAGAAGCTCTTATTCGTGTTCGTTTCACGTTGAGATTCGGCTACGAAACGATTTACATCGAAAGCGATACGAATTCCATTAAAATTCATTCCGCGCAACAGCGAATATCAAACATTCACAAGGGAAACGGTATAAAAATGTCAAAAACAATAGTAGCCTTCATGCGTCAGGAAGATATCTGACGTAAACGTTGCATCAAGAGAAGAAACGTTTTTTTCACGGACATAAATTTTGATTCGCAGTTGGCTAGGTGGAACGAATTATGAATTATATCTGCTAATTAGAAAATGATTTAGTGTTTTGTCGCTTCTCTTAATGAAATCTGAATAAGCGTACGGACACGGGTTATGCATATGTATATCACGCTGGAAGCGGTTTGTTCGTTTTCTCGCGGGCTCGTTCTCTTTTCCCTCGCTCTCAAGTTTACACCCTCAGGCACACGACACACGTCACACGCGGACACGTACACGTTACACACATATACGTATGCACAGAGAAAATTTTGCTACCCCTTCGCTATAATAGTACGTATATTGTAATAGAGCGAATCCTCTGCAACGACTATAGATACAAACTATGTATTTAATAAGGTAGAGCGTAATTATGTACGTCAATAACGCGTCACGTATTCCCTTCAATTTGTTTCGTTCGAAAGTGCGCATAGGTACACGCGAATCGGTATACATACGTACAGTGTATACGTGGTAAGAGTAACATTATACAATCGTACGTAATCATAGTAGTAAAAAGTAAAAACAGTATGAAAAATTATTGTATTGTTTCCCGTTACTTAGTATTAGGTCGTGCTCCAGACGCTTCTGAAAGTGTGAGACCGCGAATAATTATGTAAGTATTTCCTTCTCGTATGGTCAGCCCGTCGACGAACAAGTTGAGAAACGGTTAAGTCTAAAGAATGGGAGAAACGTTTCATCGCTTCACTTATTAGCAGCGTTGTTTCCTTTGTTCCTGACGTAATTAACTTTTCACCGGCGATGCTATTGTACACCCTTTTGTTTTCTCTTCCCCTACGATTACGTCGTTGAAACGCTTTCTGAAATTGTTCATCTTTAGACTAATTGCAATTAACGGTTGAAGCTTGATACCATGGACGCGACTGCTCGAAAGTTACACCGGTAAATATTAAATATACTCTCGTCGAAAATATGTATAACATATGTACGATGAACAGTGATACTTCCTCGTCCTTCACGTTTCTCAGATTTCGCGTTCGGTCAGCCTCGAACATGGAACAACTGGTTACAAGTATGTATGGATTACAAACGTTTTGAAATATCGCATTAGGATGATGACATTGATGACGCTAGTTGATTAGGTAAGTACAATGACGCACGCACTCAGACAAAAGACTGCATCTTTCAGATTTGAGATGGTTTATGTTCGTATTGTCTCCGAATACAGCAGGAAGTCCGCGTATTTCGGTTTTACGATTTCAAGGATAGATGTTTATTGAAATTATTCTCCGGTTACATTAAAATGTGGTAGAAATTGTGAGACGTTCGACTAGAATAAAGATGTCAGATCTGCAAGTTTTTCAACCGTATCTCTAATCTCTTCAGTTTTGCATATGTGATTGACGAATGATTTAATGGGACTTGAAATCTCAATTCTATTATAATGAATGAAATGTTGAATGAAATGTTGAATGAAATTGTGAGACATCTGACTGGAATAAAGATATCCGTCAGGTCTCCTAGTTTTTTAAGTGTAACTCTGATCTCTTCGATTTTACTTTTGTGACTGACGAGTGATTTCTTTCGAAAGGACTGATTTTTCGAAATCTCAGTTCTATTGCAATGAATGAAATGTTTAGAAACAACAGATGACATTGATTTCTGACAAATATTTCTGCGTAATAATTATTGTCCGCTTAATTTTCCTTCGAAGACATAAATATTACTTCGTCTCATGAAAACATCATAGCCCCTTTGCTCAATTATTTCATTTTCCTCCTTGTTAAATCATGCACACGTCGTTAATAATAATATCCTATTTGTTCGGCGATCCGACGAACAATACTTTTCCACGGCAAGAACGGCGGCAAATCATTCATTTCAATTACTAGTCGTTCAAAAAATTGTGACAAAAGCGTGACTAACGATCACCACTCCTAACGTACGCGTCCTTCGCGCTAGTACCTTCGCTTCCGACTAATCTCTGGTTAAAATAACGTTTGTAAAAAATTTGTATAGACCTATTACACGATCGATATCATTTACTGATAGTCAAGTGCAGCACTTCGATGGCTTCATTATTTAAGCATTTCTTCCTCGCCGAAGACAAGCGATTATTCAATAACATGCAACACTTTTAAACAGATACAGAAAATTAATATTTACAGACACATCGTTACGAATAATATTATTACGCACTCAAGGCTAATTGGGTCTTTTCCTTATCTATTATCGGCTAACAAATTTTAATTATACAATCAAATATTCTGTCATGTTAGCATACTTAAAAGAATTCGAATCGACGCCACTTTTGGTCCTATCGACGAACCGAAAGGTTGCATGAAGAGTAAAATGAAGAAAAGCATAATTCTAATAGAGTTCATTTCTTCTTAAAGCAAATATTATTAAATAATTCCTACATTGCTATGTGATAACTAGACAGCGGATTTTACGCATTTATGAGAAATGCTGCATGTAATTTACAAAACTATGCAGAATATCAAAAGCTGAATATTTCATCGTTTTAATGATAAAAAAAATAAATGCTTAGCTGAAACACAAACTGTTACTATAAATGGTTTATTTTGCATAAAAATCCGTAGTCTAGTGGCAACAAATCACTTAGACTTTTTCGACGCAACCAATTTACCCTAAAGACTTCTAACCCTTTCATTACAAATTTTCGCTATTATATTATAAGACACGCAGTCTTCTTTTTTAAGCTTCTCCATTTGCCATTAGGCGAATGTACAGTTTGCTAAATCAAATGTTTATTTTAATTAGTGTGTACCATTTTCCTTTACGCTGTAAAAGTCATAATCTTTTTTAAGAATTACATGTAAATTAAATCCGCAATGGCTTAATGACGATTTTAATATTAAATATTTTAAACTGTTGCAGTTGCGTATATTTACATTCGCCTAATTCGTGGTCGGACGAATATTCACAAACGAAGCGGTCGCAGTTAAACACGTGAAATTGTTACCGATCTAATTGAATAAAATTCGTACGGGTGAGTTTTGCTCAAATTTACATACACCGAATTCGCAGAATCGTATAGATAAAAGTTTTGTATAAATGAACGACGCAAATAATGTTTTGCGTGAATGAAACTTAATTAATGGACTTGTGATGATTCAATTTATTTAAACTTTATTTCTTCCATTGACCCAGCGACAAAATTTCACATTCGCCAAACTAAATCGACCGATAAACTTCGACAAAGTTTATCGACTTCTCTCTTCCAACGAGAGGAGACAAGAAAAAATTTTGAGTCATCCCTGCGTTAAATCGCGCGGTCTCAAAATGATCCCTTAATACACGTCCACTTTTGACTAAGTATCACTTACGTTCATTTCTCTACTTCGTTTCCTCCATGGCAGTTTTAGCTAGCTTCCGTGTGTCCGAATCCAACTAATCGGAACTTCTTACCTACTCGCTTACAATTAGTCTAATCGCGGGCCATCAGCCCCAAAACGACTACAAATTCATGCACTTGAACCTCTTTCTCTCTCTCTTTCTCTCTCTCTGTTCGACATTCATTCTCTCGTTACGTTACTCCACGTTGCCTCTGTCATACTCTCTCCTTGCTCTCTTGAACTCATCTTTCGCAACTGCACGCATTTATCTCTTCGCATCTCGTCTTCCGTCTTTCTCTCCTTTTCTAGCAATCGATATCGTTTCATGCTTTTGAATCATCATTTTAGTGTCCTATAGTTTCTGCAAATATCACAGGTCTATTTTATAGGTAAAAATACGTATAATAGTAATCAAATTGAAACAATGAGAAATTGAATAATGCAAAATCAATAGACTCCACGTTGCTCCATATAGAAGCAATTATTACAGTATCTATTTTCCATATACATTTTCAATTAATGAACAACTAATAAATGTCTTTATTTTATTTATCGTTATATTTTATTCTTATTTTTACCTATAAAACAGGCTGACGTCTGCATGGAAAATGTTAGAACAGCTTGTATGCAAATGAGAAAGAAATCGTAAGATTAGGGCCGAGGTATCAGTCTGACAGAAATAGATGATGCTTCTTTTACTATCTTTATTCGTTGGCGCTGTCCACAAAAATCATGCAATTACGTGCATTCGAAATTCTTCGACTAGGGAGAAGGAAGAAGGGAAACAAACTTCTATTCGTTCTAACATTAACGAGATTATGCCTTATATTAAAAGTTATTAAAAAAGATATGTTCCTCATTATTGCTAGTACTTCGGTACAAACTTTTAATCGATCGATATGAAAATTTCGCATGTCCCTGCCTTTTATCTAACCGGCAGAACTTCTAGGTTTGCAAACAGCGCCAACGAATACCTCACTGTTCCAAGTTTTCATAGTATCAGATATAAATGATCGATGATGATCCCACTGATCGTTGATTCAATTACCTCGGTGATACGGATTTTGTGCTAGAGTCGATAGTTAAAAACCCCCTCGTACTATTTATATATTCGCTCCCCTTTACACGCATTCCCTTCGTTTTCTATTGCTTGCTCTCACGTTCACTCCGCTGTCTTCCCGTCGCGACTATAATTTCTATAACTATATGCTTTTCTTTATGTATATCTGTAATAATCTATGGAGACGGCACAAAGCTGAACGGCTAGTAATAAATACAAATATGTTACACGTACGCGAGTACGACATCTGACGCTCGCATTTCACTCCGAAGGATGTCCTCGTTCGATTAATAAACAGAATCAGAGGCGGTAAAAAGGACAACGAAAGATCTCTGCTCTTGCGTTTGATACGTCCTTACGATGAATTTTATTTATTGTCCTCGTAAAAGGCAGTGAAAAGATTTTGTTCGAACTTGTGTCAGTGTAAAAATACGTTCAAAAAGGTTCGTCGAACGAGAAACGTTCGATGGAAAAAAGTCATTCAAGCTATGAAATTGTTTATCCAATAACAGTCTTTCGTTTATTTCTTGTTGTTTTCGTCAATTTTTCAATGGGGCTCATGTAAAGATTTTGTGCGATAAATTTACATTTGTGCAGTGAAACTTAAGGAGTTCTCTAAATCATCGACGTATAAAATGGGGATTCAGTCAATTTTCATTAAATCAGCTCTGTGCGGTACGGTTGACCTACTCTGATCTAAAAATGGCTAGACATACTTAAAATTTTCATGATAATCGCTGTTCTTACATTTCTTCACAATATTTCTGCTAAACACGTGCTAAAGCGATTGTCATCTCGAATTTCGAATGTCCTTACGTGAAGATTTTATTATGTGAAGATTCGTTCTCTAAGCAGATAATAGCATAAAATCAATGAGTTTCGAACAAGCTTTATTTAGATATCAGGTCAATTTCTAATGTAAAAAAGTATCTCTTGACGATTTATATTATAAAGAAACTGATTATTATGATTCATTTCAGTGATGTATAAATCAGTGAATTTATAAAATACATAGTACAAAATACTATAAATACGTAATATTATTACAGCTCTACATTTTAATAACTAAAGCTATCTCGTGAAAGTATTATAAATTTTTGAAAAATTATTAACATTTACATTAAATCCTTTTATTTTCATTCTCCAATTATTTAAGTTCTAGAAATTCGTTAAACGTTTTTAAAAAAATACCGCAATGCTTTCCTGTGTTTGAATACCTGGTTTTATCAATTACAGTTCACGCAGCGCGGTAAGTACTAACAGTCTTGTCACAATTATTTTTTTTCCAGCGTGTTCTGACTTCTATCTATATATTATTATCATTCACTTACGGACGAGTTAAAAAACACCGTAGGAACTAACGTCGTTCCATAGACGAATATCAGGAAATCAATTAATCAGTCGCAAATGACGTACGAACAACGTTAATAATTACAATAAGAACGAAAGTCGTATGAAGTTTGATGAATAAAAGGTCGATGATCATTCCTCAATTATGAATTCTTACTTTTATTTTAATTACGGTGGAGTGAAACGCCAGCATGCAGATTACTTTCCTCTCATCCTCATTCTTACTCTCTTTCTCTCTGCTCCGTACACGTGGATAAATCGTTCCGATAAATAATGCGAGCCGCAGCCCGTACTCGCGATTTTTCGTCCTCGTCTACGCATCACGCATCAACGCAATTTAATCAGGCGTACACACGTTAACACGCGACGCGCACATATTACATACACACCGTGTTGCACCCGCATGCATACCTTCACGTGTCTCCCACGGTAACGATTTTCCGCGAAACGTTTCTCCGCCTTTCAGTTCGATCAATATTACCGATGTAAATTCACCCCTTTGCCGGCGCTTAACCGACGTCAATTCGAAGTCGCGGTCGCCGACGGAAAAACCGATCCCGGGGTTTTATTGCTTTCCGTGATCGATCGATCGATAAATCTTATCCAACAGCTTGTCCTCGTGTGATAAGAACAGTTTCTCACGGTCCGATTTACAGTAATTATTAGTTTACACGTCAAATGTATACATTAATACGTCCATTTGTTGTAAAAACTGAAAGAATCTAATGCAATGCTTTCCAATTGTAATAATGATTAATGTAAAGTTTCTCACGATCTGCAGTAATTGTTATACATCAAATGTATACATTAATTTGTTTTACTGTTTTGATATACACTGACTTGCAATGCGATACTGTAAGTCAAAATTGAAAGAATCTAATGCAATGCTTTTCAATTACAAGAATGATTAATGAAATATGATCCAATTAGATTGTATGTTAACTTACACGGTAATATTGTAATTACTCAGCGCCGTACACAGAATTCATAATGAAATATACGTTTTCAAAAAATCATTAGCGAAAGACATCCATTCGTCCAGTGACTAGATTATGCAATAGAGTATTATAAAAGAATAATATCATAATAATATCATTGGCGCAAAAGAACGCGTGAACGAATCTTCGGTTGTTCCCATTCTACTTCAGCCACTACTCACTCTCGCACTCTCGATCCGCCGATTCAAAATACATCTCTGTTCTCTAATGTACACAGTCATACATGGGTATACTCGCGCACAGTAACGAAACTTTCGATTATCCGTCGGATCACGCATCCACGTCTGTTCGCCAGTTTCGCTCTGCTCCTCCTCGGCAAAGAATTATCGTCGGTTCGAGGACAGACAGGTCGAATGCGAAGATCAGGCGGAACGGAGGGGAAGTTGCGAGTTCGATCGACGAACCGACGCGATTTTTCATTTACTCGAAAAGACCTACATACAGGATTCGACGATCATCTGAAGCAGCGATGTTTTCGGCGCACGCATTTCGACGTGCACACTACCTCTCGTCGGTGGTTTCACGCGTCTCCTTCCGGGGGGTCGGGGGTTGGTTGGTTGATCGAGGGCGGTGGAAGCGAAAAGGGTGTGTGTCGGGTGTGTTGCGTTCGCGGCACGCACACGCCAAGATGTTTCTTCGCCGGTGACACGCGACCGATGTGAATAGGAAACGAAGCGACGTATGACGTCGTCACGTCCCCGGGGGGAGGGGGCGGTGAGGGCACCACCGCACCGGTTCACCCTGCGGGCTCTGGTCCAGGCCTGCCTCTGTACATCCCAACAATCAACACGTACACGGTCAATTGGTATAACTGAACGGTGTCCGGCTTACAACATTTCAAGGATCGAAAATATTCATGCATATGCAGTGCGCCAGAGTTCTATAGCCGGTCCACTTTCTCTAGAATAAAACCGGTGACATGTAGATAGCAAATTGTCTTGCGCCAGCCCCTCGCATTAACGTAACGATATCATACGTCAATAAATGAATTCATTAATATATAAATATAGCTCAATGGTGAAGTATTTCATGTTTTAAAAATACATTTTATACATAACAGGTAAATGAGGAAAATGTATTGCAATTTTAACAAAGAAAAACGTCGATCGTCAACGTCATCAACGTCGTGAACGTCAAATCTACGTACGTATGTATCACCTATTTGATTCTAGGGAAAATAGATAATATATACTGGCCCAGCATAGATACAGACAACATTTGCGATCGTATAGTGACTATACATGTGTCCTGCGGTTAGGTGGACAGATTTTGATTTTATTACTTTGTCCTGTAGATATATTGCTGTTCCAAAATAGCCACTATGTTTAATTCCTTTTTAATTAAAAGAGAATAGACTTTTTCTAAGAAATGTTTTTCCCCGTTTATATTTAGACTTACCTACACAAACCATTCGTCTTTTTGGCTGGAGGAGATGTCGCTGGAAATGAAATTTGTTTTATTAAAATTATTTTCTCAACATGTATGATATTAGACTGTGGATTTACCTTAAAAAATGAAATGCGTGGAAAATATAAACGCTGCATGAGATGCATAAAATTATATATGAAATATTAAAAGCTACTAAATATGCAATGAATCAGTAATAAATAAAGTCTTCAAAATGCATCTCTTTAAACGATTGCTATAAATATTTTGTATAAAAATCCGCAGTCTAATGATAATATTAAATAAGTAAGAATTAATTAGTAATACAATTGATGATTTAAATCACGACTTCGATAAATGATTTCTAATCAATGATACGTTTAACGATGAATGAGTTACCTGTCGGAACCGTGGCTCCTCACTTTGCCTGGCAGTAGAGGCGGACCCGGGCCGCGCTGTGCCCGTGCCTGAGGCCCGCAGGGCGCAGCCAGTTTCCCGGCCGCGGGAGGGTCGTGGCACCCGTTACCCCCGGTCCGAGGGCCGAGCCGTAGGTCCCCAGAGCTCCCAGAGTGCCCGTGGTTCCCTTCAGCGTGGTCATGCCCACTGGCAGGCCTGCGCTCGCTCCGTTCGATCCGTACATCTGTTGCACTGGAATTCCGTAAAACACATCAGTCCCGCCATAGCACCTGCATCTCTTCCGATTTTTGTTCCAAGTGCACATCATTTTCTCTCTTTTTTTTGCATTTACATCATTTTCTCTTTTTTTTTGCATTTACATCATTCCTACCAATTCTATCATTTGACAATGAATACTGTTAAGGGCAGCGTCGAGAGATTTCTGCAATTTTAGGAAGAGTAGTGGGGAATCACCACTTGTAGGGGCTTGGTGGAGAGAATGAGAGTGCATGAGCGAGGCACGAGAAAGGAGTAGTAGTGAAGGAACGATGTAACGACGATATAAGGGGAGAAATCCCTGGCGAGGAGTTTTTCGCGGCAATGCTGATTAAGGGGATAGACTCCAATAGGCAGAATGACAATATTACTCACTAAATTGGTTAAATATTATATGGTTATTGAATTATATTTAATGATGCTCAGTTTGTGGACAACATCGATATTCTGTCGAAAGAAATCGATTCTTCGATACAATTTTTTAATTCTTCACTTTTGCCTTGTTGTGGCTTTTGAATCACTCTTTAAGTCCCACCAGTAAATAAATCTTGTATACCAAGATTTGGATCTTTTCTGATGCAAGGGATTATCAAATATAGGCATGTTTCCGGAGTTCGTTCGTGCTCATAACTCAACCCTCGCAAGTCGTAAGGGGGTGCGTACGTGACTAGCCTCCAGTATTCTCGAAATGTTAGAAACGCATATGTAACAATGCTAACTGTAACTCTCTATTCTCGAGATTAAGTTGTTACTGCGTGATACTGCTCTGTCTTCAATTTAACAAGAATCGAATGATTCAGTTTTGAATTGATGCATTATTTAATAATATATATAATGAAAACGTGGCTTCTGTTGAAAGATACTACCCTTAGCACACCGTATTTTTAATTCGAAGCTACTGAGCCGATAAACTTATGGTTCTTTATTACTGAAGGCCTGAGTCATAGACACTGTGGAGGGTCAGGATTTGGCTTTCTCTAATTGGTCTTCAAAACTTTCTTAAGAGCAGCACGTTTTTCTTCCAATCCATTTAAATAAGAAAAAGTAAAAGTTATATTATAGGAGTATAATTTATTAACCTATTTGCAATATAAAGAAAGTTGATTTCTTTTTTTTTTAATACAAATTTTTAATTTAAATAATGGTAAATATATATTAATAAATTCATATATATAATATGTAGAAACTAATTCTTCTAATAATGAAGTTGCTGATAAAATGTTCGCCATATCGTTTCGTCCTCGAATCTGTACGAGAGTGCGTATAGTGTACAGACACATCGTGAATCTGGATTGACCATAATTCACGGAGGCAAAAACCTTTCGATAAGAATGCATCTAACGTGCCACGATTTTCGGACACTCGCGGGCCGGATATACGCGTGATACGTGACTAGGAAGACGACCAGCGTAACTCCTACGTGTCCATGCAAGTTTTAGACGGCGTACGTTTTTATTCCGTCATGCTTCTCCGGAGTTCATTGCTTTTGTTTAGTAGACGCGGGTCGTGTTCGCTATGTTTATAGTAGGCGTCGGGCAGTTTGGTCCGTGCAAACTGCCATTTCAAAGTTGTACACGCAAAACGTGATCTCCCTGAACTGAGTATGAACTTTACATTTCTTGTATTAAGTTTTTTTTAACATTAAACGCGTAAGAAACAGGCGGTCAGTAAATTAAAGGACAATACATCTTCCACTGATTTTATTCTTTTTTTTATAAATGAAGCCGATTAAATTTACGATGAACGCGAAACTGCTTCAGATTTATCTTAGATTACGTTGCACGATGGTTGATATTGACACGGGAGTCGAAACCCGAAGTGGAGTGTTATTGACAAACTGCAGGTTCTCGCTTAGAGGAAAAAGCTATTAAAAACAAAAAGTTTCTACTACGCCGTGCTAAGAAAAGCTTACAACGTGTCGTAGTGAACGACGTTAAACCAGGTGAAATTCCTTTATACGACATGTTCATTTTTAACGTCACGTGAAACAGTGTACGAGATCACCTGCGTTACGCTTTTGTCTTTTGATAGCTGTGCACTTCTAAGTTAATTAGATGCTGTAAGTGAGGAGATCCCAAAAGCATTTTCTTTTTTTTGCATGAAATGTTAGTTCAACATGTGTAGAATATCGTCTTACGATTCTAGAGCGAAATTCGCTCTCCTTCAGAAGCAGATCCTCCTCCCGAGGAACCTCAAGGACTACTTTATTGCTAGAATCGCAGAGTGATCTGTCAATTAGTCAATAAGTCGATCATAAACTTTGTTAGTCTCGAAATTATAAACGTGTACTCAAAACCACGTCTCCGTGAATTTTTTACAAGATAATTAAAACATTAGTTGGTCGATTACTTTGAAATTTGGTAAAGTGATTATCGTCTATATAAATCTAAATTTCTTGAAAATGATTAAAAGGAGTATTACTTTACTACACTTTAAATCTAAAAATTCAAAGTTTATTTGATCAATTAAATGAACACTGTAAAATGTTCTTAAACTGAATTGTGAATTCGTCATTAGTTGTCCTAAACAATATGAATTTAATATCATAAATGAACACTGTAAAATGTTCTTAAACTGAATTGTGAATTCGTCATTAGTTGTCCTAAACAATATGAATTTAATATCATAGATATTTGTAGTACATTTTTTTATATTATGCAGATCGAACAATAGAATTGATAAAAATTGGCAAATGAATTGTATTGAGAAATGGAGCACGTAGCCGGAAAGGAAGGAGTGGAAATAAAAGGCCGCGGATGAAAATAACGAAAATTCGAGCAGGCCGGAGGTGAGGTTGACGAGTTGACCGAGTAAATCCAGTGACCGTCCTCGAAATAAGCGGGTATCGATTTCGCACGGGGGCGGCGCGGTGACACGAAGAACTAATTACTTTCGCGTTTCCATCGGTCCACGATTTTTATTTCAATAGAGTCCGGGGCCCGTTGTAATCGTCCGCATGCGATCGACTCGGTATGAATACGCCATCAAGAGTCGATGATCGACGACCGTTTCATTGCGTCCATCGCTTCCTCCTCCGAGTATATTTTTTTTCGTATTTCCCTTTAATCTTTGTTTTTCATTTATCGGCAAAAACGTGTTTGTCCGCGAAAAACCAAAAAAGCGGAAAACGATTTAACGTGCAAAAACGTTCGGGACGGTTCGTTATAGATTATCCGTTACGGAAATTTTTCATTGTTAACGTAATTGATTTTATTTCCAAACCTCTCGTTTAAAAACTCTATAAAAAAAATTTTGCACAATGTACGTTTGTGATATTGATTCGTTCATTTACGTACGTACGTATATTTTCGCTGGATCCAGTTCGGTATTATTTTAAGTGCACAAACAACCGCAGTCTACTTATCATTAAGTCGGCTTCGGTGTCCCTCAAGCTTTCAAGATACGTGCATGCATAAGCTGCCCGATTCTAAAAGGGAGAATGAGAGGAACATGTCTGACGTTTGCGAACTTGAGTGAATGCCGGATTTAGCCTAGTACTCTCTTGCCTTGTATCTCGCGCCTGGTATCAGACAGTTTACCCCAACTATTTAATGCATAATCTTCCCGCCGCTATTTTCCATGCTGTTTTCCTCTTTCAATTCACTTATTCACCAACTCGCATACGAGCATGGAAATCATTGTTAAGTCTATGGCAACGTCTGTTTTCAATCTCAACAAACAATTGTGTTTTTATAATTAAAGAAGTCGATTTGTACAGTAGAAACTCACATATAATATTCAGTCACGTAAAAGCGGATTTAAATGTCGTCAGCAGTCAAGATGATTGCCTGCGTCGTCGAGCTAATTATTGTAATTTCGCAAGATGCGTCTTCCCTTAGGCATTCACTCGTGTTAATTAGTCGATAAATAAATTTCAGGAGAAACAATCACAGTCGCTGGGGCGAGCGGTTGGCGATCGATTAATCGTTACCGTCCACGTGTGTACGAATAGCGAATAACAATTATTCGGAACGGTGGCGCAGTGGTTTAGCCGAGGCGCAATTACCAGTAAGCTCATTAACAGCGAAAACGCTCATTATTCGATTGCCCGATATCTATCATACGTTTTACTCCCCCGTCGCATCGCTGCCTTTCCGATCGGTTTATTAAATGCTCGTCCTATCCGCCTTATGGATTACCTTCTCGAACGCGATTGACTGGAAAATGACCGACTTATACTCGGCTACTGTTGTTACGTCAGCGATAAGCCAACCCCGAAACGTAGAAAATTAAACGGCGCTCGTTAACGATGGAGAATCATGCGAATAACGGCGTCTCATTTATGATTCTTAAAGTGGTATTCAGTATTGAATGCAACGTTTGTTAATTAATGAAAATATTTCAGAAATAAAATAAAATGAAAATATTTCAGAAATATGTTTAGATAACAAGCTTTGAGAGACATACCATGTGAAGTTAATTGATTAGAATATTTTAGACTTATTGTTTATAAATTAATGAAGTCGTGGTCATTTCGCACACTGTACCGCACTTGATTTCATATTTTACACAAAATACAGACTTTATTCTGTTATTTCCATACTTAAGAAATCGTCGAACTGACCGAAATGGGTACTATTTATATGCCTCTTGAAGAGAAACGACGAATCAGATGTAGCTGACGATCGATGCAACAACGAATATGTACATCAACTATCGAGCTATATATGTAGAACAACTTTATATAGCTCATTGACATCAACATTCCAAAAAAAGATAGAATCAGTCGGACACATGTAGGTTATGAAATTAAAAGACTCTGGGAACTTTTTGATCGAATCTCGTATATTCTGGTACAAGTTCCTCTGTCATTTATTTTCTTCTTCTTTTTAATATAATTTATTATCTGCATTGCATGCAATTTCTTATAACTAACTAAAGTTTTTCTTGTTCCAAGTTTCCCTTTTATCAGTAGAAAAGTATACTTATTATCAAATGACATTATATCCTATAATGCATAAAGTTCAT